GATCTTGGGCTTGTCACACCCAGCTACTCAGACACAATGCTGAGTGAAATAAAAACAGCAACCAGCCTAGGTTGGCAGCGTAAAGTGACAGAAAGCACAGACCAGGAATGGGATGTGAGCCAAGAGCAGACCACTCTACCTCAGACATGCTACCAGGAAGTTCATTATCTGGAGAGAAGGCTGCCAATAAAAAAACTTCAGAAAATCACTGACACATTGCCAACAAAAGCATTATACAGGGGGCAGTGTTCAGGAAGGCCTGAAATTGAATCTGTTCCAAAATCTGCATATTCCCTTTCCCATGAAGACTTCCAGCCCAGACATTTGGACCAACATACAGTATGGGAAAACCCAGTTAGTCTAAGTAAGCCAAGCTTACCACTGGATGCAAAGAGTGAGGAAAGCAGAATCCTGTTGCACAAGCTTTGGCATCAAGAAGTACATCAGCCTGCATGGAGACCAGAGGATGGGCCAAGAGAGACAGCCTTGCCTGAATGGATCCCTAGCTGTGAGGTTCCTCAGCGTCAGACAGCACTGCTGGAGCTGCAGCATTCCTTCTCCAAGATGGCAGTACAAAAACATTTTCATTATTCCATAAGAGGAGAGACAAAAGACCTCAGAGACAACATTACTAAGGGAAATTTCTTTAACTGACACATTCCTTGGTTCTCTAAAAACAGAGTAACAAATAAAAAGTACCTCAGTACAAACTATCTGTCCTTTCCTAGAGAACCACAATAAATTCCAAACAGTAAAGAGAAGACCAGCTAGGGTAGCCCAGGACGTGTGCAGCCTATTTGAGAAGACTAGAAGAGCTTGTCTTGGTCTAGAGGCTTGAAAACATGACTTCTTGAGAAACACACTAGTGGGATAAACACTGGTTAGAGAAAAAGCTGGTTCGTTAAAGCCCAAATGGAGCATTACAGTCTGACTGCAAATAAATTTAGGCTGGGAATCACAAGATGATTTTTAATGGTCACAGCAGGGAGGTTCAGGATTAGCTCTTCAATAGATGAGGAGAGGATCAGAAAACAGAATGGACCTGGCCAGTTTATGAAAGGAGCTATGGCACAGTTGCCAGCAACAGCTGGGGATTGGTTAGTGACCCAAAAAGGCCCTTTGCAGGCCCTCACAGGCACCAAGCTTCCAGGTCAAAATGACCCTCTGCTACTCTGCAGGGAGTCAAATTCCAATAATGTCAGCACTACTGCACATACACAGGGACAAACACTGATGCTTGTGAGCTGTGGAGTCTCTTTGTTTGTGCACTGTACATTCCCAAAGCCTCCACACTCTAAGGTTGACCGTGGCCTCTCCATGCCTATATTTCTACGCCAAATCTACTGTGCCTTGTATTTCAGACTCTTCCCTCTCCTTTTTCACTCATTGTGTAAGACAGGAATGTTTATAGAGAACAGAAAAAGACGTAGAGACTGTATTTAAACTGCAGTGAAAACTGGTAGAGGCAGAATGTGACTTAGCATTCCCTGCAGGGCTTTGAAGGAGCTTTAGAATGAAGCGGGTAAACTACAGTAAACATGTAATCTGTTATTAGGAGTTAGCCCTAGGTGGCTGCAAGCAGTCAAAATAGTAGCTAAGGCTTAATAGCAGGCATTAACTAGACAATCTTTAAGGTCCCTTCCAACCCTAACCATTCTATGATTAACCTGGTAGTTATAAAAATATTTAAGAGCAAGACATAGGGACAGAACAGCTCTGCTGCTGTGTTGTGCCTACTGAGCTGCTTAGCATTCCTGAAAAGTGTGAATAAAAACCAACCAAACAAAATGTCCCCAAATGCAATATATTTCAAAATCTTTCAAAATTATTTTTGTAAAGCCTTTTGAAAATAAGAAAGTAGCAAAGGAAACTTTAGTGGAAAGTTATCTCATGGATTAGCAACTGGCTTTGCAAAAAGAATGCAAAGAATAAACTTAAATTGCTCTTTTCTGTGTGCTGACAGATTACTGCTACCCAGAATTCAGGAACACAGCTAATATTGGTTCAATGAATAATATCTTAAGGAGCTGCAGCCAAATGAGGATTAGAGAAGCAGAAAGAGCACACGGGCATTCATTGTTGTCTTTTTAACTGCTTAATTAAATGAGGGATTATTTGGTTGTTTCCCAGAGAGGACCTGAAGAGAGTGCAAAATGCCATTGTATTTTTCATTCAGAGTTTTTTCATTGCAGTCTTCTAAGCTGTCCCATTAAAAGATCAGATATATTGCCCTCTCCCTTCAAGCAAATCACCAGAGTTTGGGAGACTGCCAGGATCATACACTGAACATACGGCTCAAACAGAACCATGCTTCTGGCTAGTCGCTATCCACTGGACTTTCCTTTACAGGAAGAGATACTAGCAAAGAATCATGGCAGAAATGTAAATCCTTGATGACTTTATTCATGTGTGAGATCTTCAGGAGGCAAGTCAGGACACAGTGCCCCAGCAGTGCACCATTTTCTGTGCAAGCATTCAGAGTACAAAGGGCTCAGTGACTACCAAGAGGATGTAAGGGAAACAATGAGAAAGGAGTCAGAGACCTTACTTTCCGTTAGGAGAGGATACTCACTTTCTATTCCACCTTTACACATCTCAGAAACAATCAGACTTTTGGTTCTTAAAACAGAGATGATTAATGCATTTATTAGGACACAAGAAGAGTACAGGAGAGTATCTAGAAGATTTAGTAAAAAAAGTAACTGAGCAGCATACTAACAGAAGAAATTTAAAGGTGAAGTATGAAGAAACATACTGCAAAGGACTGTTAAAGACAACTCAGCCACAAATGGGTTTTAAAATAGTTACCTCCTGGAGGAAGATTTCAAAATAATTGCAGACTCTTGCTTCTTGCTCTGCCTCTAGCACTATTCAGGAGAGATTAATGTTAAACTGCAGAGAAAACAGAATATAATGTTATTTCATAATCCTTGTGTATCTTGCATTTAGATTGTCCAGCATATTTCATAAGTAACATTTCATAAGCACATTTCATAAGCAAAAAATGTCCAGCACATTCCATAAGCAAAAAAGTCTGTAAAAGAGAGATTAGTCACACCCCAAGAAGGATACGTGAAAACTTAACTTGTTCTTTCTGGAAAAAAAGCCCCAACAAAACCAACCAAACACACTCC